CACTCAAATCATACTGTCCAGCCATTGGATTTGCGTCTTTTCGGTGTAGTAAAAAAAATAAAATATATCTGCACACCAACGTTCGGAAATTTAACCACTACTATTCAAAACACTACACAACCAACTTAAAATGGTTTCACTTTTTCAACAACAGCAGAAGTGTTAGTTAATAACTAAATTTCAATAAACAATATAATTGCTTCATTAATAAAACAATCTGATAATCTTTTTTACGTAAAATAGCAGCTTAAAATGAGAGTGTAGTAATAAATGGTGTCATTTTGTATCATATAATTAAAGAAATGAAAGTCATTACAAAGGTTTACAAGAAAAAAATATAGAGTCTTTATTCCACAGTGAAAACTTTGTGTTTGTTAACCATAATAAAAACAATAAAATATTTGTCGACATCAGATCAATAAGTGTGTTTATGTGATTAGCAACCGCTCATTTCTCTCCTTAAATCACGTTTAAACTCTCTGAACCAAAACCAATCACAACTTTGATCCGAGTTTAACGAATAACACCAGAAAGTGTGAAATAGCTTGAAGGGTATTGTCTGGGCAGTTTCTGACAATCCATTTTTTGTTTATTGGGTTTAAGATCAAACTTTTTTAGTTTTTATTTGAAAAATATGGAATTATTTCCCGTTTTTTTATCTGTTTGGTAAAACAGGGGATTAAGAATCAGTATTTAAAATTTATTCTTTTTTTGTATGTCAAAATATGGTATATTACTTAAAAATAAAGTAAAAAAATATGTTAAAATTAAAAATAACGGGACTAATGTTGAGTTTACGGACTAAGTTGCCTATCTGTATTGTTAATGATGTCAATAAACTATAATCGAATATTAGTAATTTTTTTAAAAAATAGACTTCACAAAAACAAGTATTAAACTATAAGCTATTTAGAGAAACTCGTTTTTTTGTAAAAAGTTTATTTTGACAAATTTTATATAAAAAATAGAATAAATCTATTAGATACAAATAATTGTTTATTTTTTGCTTTTTGTTCACAAAAAAACTCGGGTTGTCAATAGTGTTGTCGAAACACTCCCCGAATATTCCAGGAAATTATTTGGGGAATTTTATCTTTTTTATCAAATTCCCGAACCGATTCCGGAATCAAAAAATATTCGGGAATATTTTTAACCTCGGTTCGGGAACATCCTGATTCCCAAACTTAAAATTGGTGTGTTCCCGAACCAATAAGTTCCCGAACACACAAGTTCCCGAACTTCATAAAAAAAATATTCCCAAACTTTTGATTCCGGAACATGACGGTTCCCGAACCGATTCCGGAATCACCAGTATTATATTAAAATTTTATTAATAAGCAAACTAAAAAAATAACAACTTTGTTTTAATATTAAAATAGTAAAAAAAATTAAATTATTCAAAAAACAATTGAATAATATTTGTCCAATCATAAAAAACTTGTACAGTCACAAACTGTACTTAAATGTTTTTAATTATTGTTCATTTTAAAACGTTAAACAAATTTAATAATTATACACCAATAAGAATCAAATCAAAATAATAAAAATAATCAATTTTTAATTTAAACATAACTTTTTCAAGCATCTGTTTTTTCTTAGTATTATATAATGTTAATTTAAATAAATACTCTGTTTGTTTTTATATAATAATATTATAATAATCATTTCAAATAAATTGTTGATTTTTAAACCAAATTGGATTGTTATAATACCCATTTTGTTTTTTAAACAATTAATAATATCCAAAAATGCAATTTATTGACATTGAATTAAACTATTCAATGATGTTTTAAACGTTGTCTGGTTGACTAAATTACATTTATAACGTTTAAACAAAATTTATGTAAAAAATCAAAAACTTTATATATAAATGATACTTTAATATAGTGGTATTTTGAAAAAATTTTATAAATATTCACATTTTAATAAAAATTACAATCAAAGTTATAAATGTACAACATTTTGTATGTTTACTTTATGTTTTTTCAATTGATGAATAGAATGAATTTGTTTTATATTTATATATATATATTACACAATAAACGTTTTATCATTTTGTTGATTATCATAGTTTTTTAAAATTACAATTCTAATTACCCACGTCATTTATTTATAACCAAAATGTTTATTTCTTTTGTTAATCCGTACGTTA